GTCGTCCTCGATAGATATGCTCTGGATTTCCAGGTTCTGGGAACAGAGAAGGATCAATCTTCTTCCAGATCATAGGAATGTCGATTTTGTCCATCACAGGGGCTAGGAGTCATTAGAGAAAGGGTTGTGATAAATGGATGAGGGTTATGACCTACAGTACGCAATTGGCTTTGTGTACGGACTTCCATGATCATTATGGCTGTGCATTGCCCAGGTCCCGAGCACGGCGCCATAGATACTAAGTCCATAGACCAACACAATAGTGACAATCCCTGCGGTATTGGCCGTGATGTACGGCAAGCGAGAACGGCGTGTTGTCTTCAGATAAGACATATCATAGCCTTCACTTTCCGCCTTCTCAGTACTCACGTCACTGAAGCGAGAGGAAAGATGTTCCTTCTCTTCATCATCAGTTACGGAGGAGTATGTGACTTTCTTCGCAAGCTTGGTTGGAAACCACATTGTTGAGTGATGGCTCAATATGGTGCAGATGGGAATGTGTGCTTTGTTGTTGAAAGGATCACCGAAAATATCTCCAAGTCTTGAATGTGTTTGGGAACTGGGATGAAGGCTGGGTTGGTTGTATTATAAAGCACTAGACTCGAATAGGATGGTGATAGATATCGGCATAAACGATGGCGACAGTTCTATTTTCTGCAAGCCTTATCGTCTGTGGCAAAGGAGCAATCTATTCTACACATGCTATCAACGTAAGGCAGAGACATGTCAAGTCCACGGCTGATCGGTAGATCAAATGCATTCCTGCAAGTGGGTCCGCTGCAACTTCCTCCGTTCTTGATCGTATGAGAATTGCATGAGAATTGACATAAGTGGATGTCAAACCACCTCCTGCCTTCTTTGGTCAGAAGTACATACATGAATATGTCTGTGCGAGTTTGCTACTGTCGTGGACTTTGTATGCATACGAGCTTACCGCTACTTTGTGTAAGTGTAACTCGATATCACGGTCGGCCGCTGCGATATCTTTCGGCCGACACAATCTAGATTGCATGGACAGGACACAACCAATCGAAGAGATCTGAGACGAGGATCGTACCATACATGGCCATGTTCAGGGAGCGCCACGTATGGGGCAAGGTGAATAACAACAGCATAGTTCAACGGATCTTGTGACATTTCACCTTGCAGCTGGCATTGCTGATTTTACACTGCCTATCGCGCAAGATTTAACTCGCTACTCTCGGCTCATTTCAAGGCGGAAGCTGTCCGCATTTCCCAATTAGGAAAGTCAGATTTCATATTGCCAGCTCCAACGCTAGTCTCTGTTCAACATGTCAATGTTGGATGCCCATTTTCGAGACATGGATACCCACTATTGCGGAGCGAGGATCGTAAAACTCCGAGTACCAGATACACATGCTGAGCGCTGATTTACTTATACTCTCCATCACTCTTCCTTTTTTGAAAGCAGTCAATCTGAACTTACTTCCTTGCTTCCAACTCACACTATCCTCTTCACCAATCAACAAGAACAATATTCGCACATTCATTATGAAGGTTCAAAACGTCTTCTTTCTGCTCGCTGCCCAGGCAATTGGGGGTGTTATGTCTGCTCCCATCGCTGCTTCAGGTAGGGCACCGCCCTGACTACTTTCAGAGACACCTATTGAACCGAGTTTCCACTGATGTATTTTCAATAGCCTCTACCTTACAGACCAAGGCTATCGAGAAGAAGGGAGTAGCGGAAGTTTGGGCCAATTGGAATCATCCCGGTGCATTGAAAACCGAAGTTCCGGCAGAGGAAGCTGAGAAGAGAGGTGTAGCTGAAGTGTGGGCAAATTGGAATCATCCCGGTGCATTGAAAACCGAGGTCCCGGCAGAGGAGGCCGAAAAGAGAGGTGTAGCTGAAGTCTGGGCCAACTGGTGAGCTGTTCACTCTCTTAATATACTATCTCATCAGCTCATTCTGAACTCTAGGAACCATCCTGGTGCATTGAAAACCGAGGTCCCGGCAGAAGAAGCCGAAAAGAGGGGTGTAGCTGAAGTCTGGGCCAACTGGTGAGATCTTCACTCGCTTCACTTAGTACATTGCTAATTTTGAACTCTAGGAATCATCCTGGTGCATTGAAGACCGAGGTTCCGTCAGAAGAAGCCGAGAAGAGAGGCCTTGCTGAAGCAAGGGCGAACTGAAACTGTCCTGCAGTTCAAAGACCGCGGATTTTGAGGATGTGGCTGAGTGACTGAGCATTGATCAGAAGAAGATTTGCTCTTTGGTAAATTTTTGTTGGAATTTGCTTGTTTTTCTTGAAGCGGGAGATATCGGAGGTATTGGGCGAGGAAGAGAGATCAATGGACTTTCAATATGACAAATGGAAACGACTTCATATTTACTCTACCTCATCCGCTTCAAAGTGACCGGAATCATGATTTCCAATGTCTACAGTTTCGAAACGAAACGATCGATTGAGTTCAACTCTTCGCTGATCTTGTCGGGGAATCTTTCTTTCAATTTTGAAGTGGGTAGCTTACACGTCAATTGTGGAGCGATTTTCAGCTCGCCTGGATGCTTGGCGACATGCGACGAAGTTTACAACCAAAGACAACTCTCCTTGGCATCTTGCTGTGCCTTTTCCAAGACAGTCCCCCAACCCTGCTCGTTTCCCAATCTCACGAAGCTCACAAGGGCCCTCACGTATCGACGTTGCATACGAATTGTTTTCACTTCACATGGAGACTGTGCCGCCTGCAAGAGGGGCTCGGCCCTTGGTCCCGCGTTGGATACTATTTCTTGAGTTGATGTGTTCTCCAACTCCCACGACCGTTGCGCTATTTCCCCGCCTTCTTGCACGGCCACCAAAAGAGTGGACTGGGATAGGATTCACTGCGTCTCATGCGTGCTCGTTATCTCTTACAAAAAACTTCAGCTGTCCTGCTTCTCCACATCGATTGCATGAACCCGATGAACAGGTGTAAAGTGGCCACGAGCACCTTAACTGTATGAAGTAGATAAGGTAATGGACCGTGGTCACGCGCGGCTTGATTGTATGAGCTTGAAAAATTGATGATGACTGGTCAAAAACAAGCTTAAATGCTGACACTGAAGTGATCCACCGCGGCAGCTTATTTGCATATACGAGGCATTAAAAGCTTGCAAGTGCCACGCAGCTAAGATTGCTGAATGGACCATTGCCATTACGTGCGATAGTCTTCTACTGTTGTAGCCCTTGCAGTTTGAGGAGCTACCATCTCAGATGATGGGTGGCACCTTGATGGTTGAACAATCATGTACTCTAGGGTAGCATTCGCTCGGCAGTACAAGAGCTAGTTTGATTCAGGATAGTATATCCTCGACTAGATAAGGCCAGCGAGAATTGAACGGTACCTCGTCTGACCTTCCTAAATCGACTTCGGAACATTGATTCCAAGTCGTCTTTAAGAACGTGGCTGTCGCGGCGGTCCACTGAAAACTAGCTGTAGTAGTGGCGGGTGAATCAATGGGGAACGCTTGGAAAGCGAGCTAGTACGGCACATGGCCTGGGCAAAACGGGCCGCCCCGCTGACAACGTCCACTGCCCAAAAGCAGTTAGCCTTGTTTACATCGTTACGCGAGAATGCAGAGTCAGCAAAGCGCAAAGCCCTAAGCTCTAAACTGCAGGTCACTTCAACGTATGCTATCGAGTCGGCCGAACCCTGGAATTTGTAGCAGGGCCTGCAGCTCGTGGGCATCCATTTCACCTAGTCTAAAGTTATGCCTGTCTTGATGTGCTGGTGTAACTTATTGCATGCATTGCACCTTCCCGACATTGTCCCCAATAATCAGCTTCACATTTCACTCACAGCAAGTCCAGACAGTCATATAGTTTTCTTTTGAAATTTGCATGCCTCTGCCTGAGAATTGTCGCCGTGACTTTATTTGAAACAACAATGGATCATTCAGAACTCGAACGAAATCTTCTCTCGGAGAAAGACATCTATGAACACTCTGATGCCGACTCGGAGATGTCTGGGCTGTCCTGGAATCCAAAGAACAACGGCTATGTCAATCGAATCAGAAACGGCATCGAGGATTTATTCAGTTCGAAAGGGCAAAGGATCCTCCTTCTCAGTTCCGCTCTTCTCAACACGATTCTCTTGATTGCCGTCCTGAGCTTCTCGAGGGCAGCACACAACGAATGGAACTGTCTGAGTCCTACCGGTATGTGTACTTCTATGATTGGAGTTCTGTTTAGGAATTGACTATGTCACTCAAGTTGGTCTTCTCCCAAATACACTCGAACGAACAATCAGCGATATGACGCCGTTCTCGCACCGAAGTGACAACAACAGTGCACGAGATGCGCTCTGGAATAGCATGGCGACTGATCGGGGTGTCGTGGCCGTGGATCAAGAGACAATCGCGAAGCAAGGCTTGACCGAGACAATCGTATTTCCTTGGGACCCTACCAAGCGAGTTTATATCGTGATTGCTTTCCATCAACTGCACTGCTTGGTAAGAACACGTTCATATTTGATTTTGAACTACTTGTTAATATAAGTACAGAAACTTCTCTACCAAACACTCACCAGTGCATATAAAGGAGAAGAGTTACAAAAGCCGGTGTATGAGCACTGTGTTCACTGCTTGGATCAACTACGACAAGATGCTGAGTGCAATGCGGACGATGTAGGAAGCCTCAAGCCACCTGTCTGGGGGATTGAAAGCTAACTGTGTATTCAGAATCTTTGGTATATTGGAGAAAAGAGCACGGGACAAAACCGCAAATGCAAAGACTTTTCCAAGCTTGACGAATGGGCCCTGGAACGCCATGCTTGCTACAATTTTGAACGGCCGATGAAACCTGGACCACTTGATGTTGAGGCTTTCACCAATTGTCGTGACAGCTCTCCGTATCTACCTATCATGAAGAATCATTTCGGGTATGGTGATGATTGGAAGGGAGATTACCCTGCACATGAAGGTCCGACCTTTGAGAATTAGAATTTGGGTGGTCAGATTGGGTTCAGGAAACTAGCAGAAGGAAGTCATTCCATTTGCTATCGTACTTGCATTCATGGTACGACGAAAAGGATGTTCTCGCAACTTGACACTTGTATTGAAGCGGCTCCACACAATTGATAGTACACATCGAAGGCGCTCACTTTCGAGTTTTTCAGGAATCTAATCAATGCACTTTACAATTTTAGAAGTATGACACCTTTAATTTCACGCCCATTTGCCACTTACTTGACGACAGCTCAGTAGATGAACATATGCTTGGCCTAAACTCTGCGAGTAACTCAACTCGCTTGCCACATCTTTGGCTCGGTCTTCAAACACCCGTGGCACGAATGTTTGCACGTGATCGTGACGACGGAATGCTACCGCGACTTGACCAGTTCATCCTGTCACCATGCAATGCAGCGTTCGTATCTGCAAACTTCCCCACACCGCTTGTATGGTCCTAGCTCAACCTGAATTATTGTAGAGTTGCTTACTTGTGCTTGAAGGACAGCGTGGTCGT